ATTCGCCTCTAGGAGTGATTTCAGTTTCAAGCTTTTTTGACAATTTTTCAAGTTTGCTTTTTGTGATTCTACAGCCTCCAACCTCTAAAACTCGTGCCTTTGCATTGTATATGTATGCAGTATTGGATTAGGTCAACAATTTGGTCCTGAATCTTTGTGTATCAATGCTTGGAGATATGATTTGATTCACCATTGATAACTTTCTTATTTTGTCCAAAATCCAATATTTTTGCACATGAAAAGCTTGATATAAATTTGATCATGTCATTGATGATAATCAAGACCTATAACAACCAAAAAAGATCCTAAGTAATCAATATTTGGATTTTATTTGATTTAAATTGATTTAAAATGAATTAATTCAATAAAAAATCAAATAAAATAGAAAAATTAATAAATGGACACAAGGCTGAAACTAGGACACGTGTGGAGTGTGACAAGATCAAATCAAGGGGAAAAGAATGGGCCCCTTTGACAAAATTTGAAGTTTTGGGGATAGTTGACTTTTGGCAATTTTGCAAAAATGTCCAACTTCAACAATGTATAACTTCTTCAATTTTGAACTTTTGGAAGTGTTCTTGGACTTTTTAGAAATCTTGAGATGTCTTCTAACAATCCCTTTTGGTCTCATCTCATTTTTATATTCTATGATCAAGTTATAAGCTTTGGCAAAAAAAGGTGTTTTTGTTGACTTTCAAAAATATCCTATAATATCCAAATTTGTAACTTCTTGTGAGTTCATTTCTTGATCTTGGGGTGTGAATATGGATTGTAGGAAATTGCATCCTCTTAAAAATGAGATTTGGATGGGTCATTTCTCATAAAGTATGAGAAAGTTATGCTTGGTCAAAGTTGAGTTGACTTTTCCTACAAAACCCTAATTTAGCAACTTTTGAGTCTTGATGAATTTGAGCAATCCTTGATGAATCATGATCAACCCTTGATCAAATGATGAAATATCCTTCAAAATGAGAATGTTGACAAAAAATATTGAAGTTTGACTGTATTTGGATCACAGTTGACTTTTACCCTAGCACAGTCGATTTTTGGACCATTTGAGCAATTGACTGACCAAACTTCCTCTGTAAGGCTTGAAATTTGGCATGGATGTACTTGAGAACATATTAGGACATTGGGGATCACTTGAGGTCATTTGGATGCAAGGACCTTGATGCAACACAAAACCCTAATTTGAGGTTGACTGCCTTAGGAGATGACTTGACTATCCAACTCTTGAGCTATCTTGAGCCATTTGGAGATTTTTCTTGCAATGTTTTGAGAAATATGGGAGGGAAAATTTTGGGGTGCAACACCTATGTCATCATCGTCAACACCGAATAACAACAACACCTTAGTAGGACAACGATGAGAGGGGTTCCATTTTTCATCACACTTAAAACAAAGTCCCTTATTGCGTCTGTCACATATATCAGTATGAGGAAGTTGATAAATAGGAATTTGTGTATGAGGTAGGCAGTAAGGGAGGTGGGGCATTTGTTTTAGGGTATGTTTGGATTAAAGGAACATGGTGGAATGGAACGGAATTGAATGAAATAAGGTTATGTTCCATCATTTGGATTGATTTAAAAAAGATGGAATGAAAAGGTATCAGATGAAATGTATTTCATCTCATTCTATTTTTTTTTTTACTCTCCAATTTAAGCAGAATGACAAAACTGTTATATTCCATCATGAAATAACCAAATGATGAAATGATATTTCATTTCATTTTACTCTGTTCTACTCTATTTCATTATGTCTCCTTTCATTCTGCTCCATTCTTTTTATAGTGCGTAAACATCTATCATATAAGAAAATTTTATGTTAAAAATTTTTTGTTGTAGAATTCTCAATTTTCCTCTTCTACTTCCTTGCGCAGCCACGTATATGGCTTGATTGCTCTCCTTTGACTTCTCTATTCTCATACCACACTTTTTGCTTCATCCAAAATAATAGAACTACTTTTTTCTAACTACACTTCTTCTTCTAATATTTTAACATTTTATTTTGCTTCTTTCAAATCAAACTTTTTTCTATTTCTTCTGAACAAATCTTATTTCTCTCACTTGCTTCTATATTGGTTTTCCATCTTCCAATATTACTCTCTGCTTCAATTTTTTTCTGCTTTATTGCTGCCATACTTTCAAACTTCTCATACACACTTTTTATAACAGTTTTTTTCTTTATAAAAGAGTAATTTCTCTTGATTTCTTTTCACTCTTCTTTTTTTTCTTTTATTTTCTTTTTGCCACATCTTCAACTCTACCATCACTAACATCTCATATTATTTTTTAAGGTATGAAAATGGAGAAGAAGAAGAAGAAAAACAATAATACGGGTGAGAAAACATAATTATTTTATACAATTATTCTTTTATACATTAACTTCTGATTTTTATTGTGATCGATAACATATTATTCTTTTGTAGAAAAAAAATAAAATGTATACAAATCTAACTACATTTTATTTTAATTTAAAATATCCACAAATTTGAGTTTGTAGTTTGAAAAAGTGATTGGATGATGAAGGTCGTGGATGAAGATTGAAAGAAATTTGTTGGTGATATTTTGGATTTGAGTTTGAAGGTTCTGTATTTTTAGTTGATGTTTTTGGGTTTTCTTATGTTTTCAGGGTTGAGGTTAATTAATTTTGAGTTTTGAAATATGAAAATGTGTAAAGTTTTAGTTCTGTGAAAAATAAATTCGTTGGATTTTGGTGATATTTGAGACAAATCAATGAAAATTGACACATGTAAATTCTCTCATGCAATGAAGATATTGTTTAAGATAATAACATGAAAAAAATCTTGGTAATAGAATAAGATGGTAACACATGTGTTAAACATAAAAGAGAGAGAGAGAGAAAAAAAATAATTGATACTAAACAATGTTTATACTATAATATACTAAACAATGTTTATACTATAATAAACAATGTACATACAATTTTTATAAATGATTGCTAATGAGTATTTAAAATAGTTTTTTAATTTTTTTTAATTATATTCAGTGTACATGGATCATAAGTTGAATTTTTTAACAACTAAAATTAATTTGAAACAAAGAAGAATTTGAAAACTTAAAATAAAATTGAATTGGATATGCTATTATACTCTGCTATACATCTAACCAATCAATTAAATAATAGATACTGTAAAATCTAAACAATTAAATAATGAGTACCTGCTGCTACTATATTGTGCTATACTGACTCTATGACCATGGCAACACCATACTTCTCTATCAATTAAAATAAGTAAGAGATGGATAAATTTACATCATAATTTCAAAAATTATTTATTTAGTGTTTTATATAATCTAAAAATTTAATTAAAATTTTGATTAATGTTTCTATTGTGAAATAAAAAAATTGTTTCCAAAAAAAAAATTAAAATAAATAAAAACCATTATCAAACTTATTATAAATCAATTTTTAAAATGAACAAGACTTAGGTCAATTAAAATGATAATTTAGAGGAAGTACAACTAGCTAAGTTCAGACAATGAAACTTCTACCATTAAATTAAATGATAATTAAGTTGTATTTATAAATACAATTAAGTATATAAATCAATTTAAATACGTATTTATAAAAAGGATAAATGATTATGATTCCCATGTATTTATAAAAAGGATAAATGATTATGATTCCCATGTATAATTAAGATGAAAATATTTAGGATGATAGTGCTAAAAAAAAATATAAATTAAATAATAAAAGTTTATTATAAAATATATATTATATATAATAGAAGAAAAATTTAATATAAAACTAAAATTATTATATGATAATTTTAAATATTACTTAGAATTTATTTTAAAAAATTTATGATATTATTTATACAGGAAAAATTATAGTGTTGATACCTATTTTTTTATAACGGAAAATGGATATTATTGATACAAATTCAAATATTTTTTATTGAAAAATGGTATACAGAAAAAAAAAATTATTATTGATCTAAATATATTTTTTCTTTTTTCTATTTAAAATAAATATATTATATAAATAAATATGCATCCAGATCAGAATCCGTACATATACACGAATTTATTACTAGTATCCTTAGGGTTGGATGATGAAGCTTGAGGTGAGGGCGTAAGATGGACTAGTATTTGTGGGCTAGGAGAACTATAGGATCTTCATCCACACGTCTTACTAGCCTCTTTCTTTCTTTCTCATTTTTTATTCGCTCAAATCAAACAATTAGAAAATTATTTCACTTTCCATCTACTTTATTCTTACTTTCATACATTCAATATTGTTTCCTCTTACTTTCTCTCCTTCCATTTTTTCCAAGAGATAAATAGATATTGTCAAGCCTTCTAGGCACTTTTTTCATTATTTCATGAAGTCAACCAGTCAAGTTTTCCAGAAGCTATTAAGACTCAGACTCATTATAGTATTTTATACTCACAAGTCACATCCTTTCAAAGTCTACAATAATGGCTCCGACTACTTGATGAGTTGGTTAAATAGTTTGTGAGAATTTAAACATACTTAAAAGTATTATAATTCTGGAATGTGTAGTTTGAACATTGAGCCAGTAGAACTCAAAGACTATTCATACATGCTAGTTCAAATGGACCCATTATTGATCATGAAAATATTAAGGATAAAGTGAAAGATTGAAGTGTGAACAAATTAACAAATAAACTAATTGCAGGCGAGTGGTTGTTAAAAATGGTCCTAAGTCCTAACCAACAAATTGATTAAATAAATGTTATTACAACATGAACAATCTACCAAAACTACCAAGTTACCATCATAGGACTAAAAGTTACAATATTGAACATGAAAATTGATTGAACCTCCAAAAGAAAACCTCATTCGGGATAACTCTGAACATGTCTAATGTCTAAAGGGTGATTATTTCATATTCCATGAAAAAAAATGTATGTGTGAGTGTCAAGTGCTGCAATTTTTCAAATCATGTCCAAACCTTGATGCACTGTATACTTTCACTAACAGGAGAAATAATTTAGTAACATAGGAACTAATCATCTAATTCGTGAAGACCTATGTCTTTGTTCATCGACCTTATTCATCCAATCATTGAGCCATAGAAGTCCCTTGTACCCATAATGAGTAGCAGCAACAAGTATGACCAAGAAAAACACAAACAGAAAAAACTGCTTTGTTCTGGAAATCATTTTCTGCTCAGTTATTACAATCATAATAAGTCAGTGAAGAGAAAAGTAGACGAAATTTTTAAATAAACTCTTTTATCAAGAAAACTAGCATACCTGTAATATTGTCGGTTCGTTGGATTCAACTACTTGGTCTCGCCTTTTACGTCGCTTTGGAACTGATTTTTCATTATCCGGCTCCTTTACCTTCAACAATTACTAGTGTTAAGTGTTGAATAAACAAAATTTATTTTAGTGTTATGACAGTAACACTGCAGAGCTCACTTGTAAACTTTGTTGCAGATTATGAATCGACGAAGTTAATATGCATAAATTACACTACATTTTGCAAAGCACCAATATAAACATATATTTGTGATTTGGTGTAACAATCTAACTTGGTTCCAAGATTTGTCATAACCTTAAATGACAATGCAAACCACAAAGATGTCCTTTCAGAAGCTGAATCTAAGTTAATTGGCATTTTATTCCTAGAAATTGGAAGAGTCCGTCAATTTAAGTCCGTCAATTTAGTCCATCAAATTTGCGAAATAGCAATTTAGTCCCTTAAATTGAACAACATTGGTCAATTTAATCCTTTCTCCAAATTTAACACCACAATTTTAAAGGTTTTATGCTTGTCTTGATGCAGCAACATACAATTCAAGTAAATATATAGGCCTTTTCATTGGTTTTGATTATTATTTAGTAAAGAAATATTTTGATGTAAGGACTAAATTGATTGATGTTCTTTAATTCAAGGGACTAATTTAATATTTCATAAATTTGAGAATTTAAATTGTTTGATCCTTACAATTTCGAGGACCGAAATGTTGATTTACTCAGTTGAATTTCCACAAGTACAACCCATTTTTGTAGTAATAATGAATAAAAAGAACCGAACAAATTAAATAACTTCGAATGTACGCAGAAAGCTCTGATGGAAGCAAAATTACCTCTGTAGCTCTAGATTTACGCAATTGCAGTTCTGACTCAACAACCTGCACTTTCCTCTGACAGTCAGAATTGCAAGGAATAAGTCCAACTCCAAATTGATTTTTTGGTATATCGCTTGGGTCGCGACCGGCGCGATTATGTGCTGCTTGAACATCTTGACAAAGCCACTCCTTTTTCAGCGTTTGGCATTTGCAACGAACAGTGACCTTGTGAAGAACAAGTTAATATTTTAGAAGATAAATTGGATCGATAATAGGTGTACTGTTTGTTTAGTTTGCAGAACCTAGAAAAGTAATGCAAGAAACTAGACACTGATTGAGCTATTAGGTTATTTTCAAAGTTAATTCATAAAGTGGTGGCTATTAAATCCAGTACCTTTTTATAGCATTTCTCAGGATTTGGGCATTGACCAGGATGACATATCTCTGGGCATAGATGTGTACAATTTGGCATCTTTCTGCAAAACCAATGTAACCAACAAGGCTTATTCTAGCTAATCCATTTAGAGAACGAGGAAGAAGGAACGTAAATCTAACGGAAATGTTAAACTTAAAGTTGGTTTCAGGGGCTAAACTAGATTATAATTTACCTATGACAAGGTCCACCACATGACCGGGCTGTCTCTTGATCCTTTGCAGACAGGCCGTTGTAATAAATGCATTCAAAAGCATGGACCATTGCACCACAATGACATGACCGTTTAATTAGCACCTTGCATGGGGGGCAGTCTCCAGGATGGCATCGCCGAGGACAGTGATGCTGACACGTAGGCTTTCTTTCCTGATCAATGCAGTTTACACATTAAGAGACTAATAATCAGCTCTGGTTTTGGATAGTAAAAGAGTGAAATTCTCGACTTTACACAGGAAAACAAAAACTCCATTGATTCAGTTAAAATCCAGTGATAACACATGGAAAACACATTGCAACCCATGAATGAGAAAGACACCGGTGCAAAATAAAGAATAAAAATACAATGAATTAGTGGAATTATGAAAAATTCAAAACCTTTTGGCAAGAAACCGAACAATCTTCACAAGCCTCACTTCTTAGTAACCGGTTCGTGGAAGACCGGTTCTCCAAGGGATGGCATGTTTTAGTACAATAATGATTGCCACATGGTAGAGGATTGCCACATAGATTTTCACAGGAGAACTGTGATTTATTAGAGCAGACCATCTGATAAGAGGGTGGAAAAGAAAACAGAAACCACATTAAAAGCAGTTAATGCAAATTGGTTTGGGATGAAATCACTAAAAAGAATCAAGCATATCATAGTTCATATGCCACTTCTAAGATAAGCAAAACAAACCATCTGCTCAGCTCCAATGTGCTGCCCTACACATGGTCTCCATTCTAGTTCTGGGCAAGGAGGGCATGGAGTGCCGGGAATATTTTCACTCTGCTGTATATTCTTCTTTTTCTTTGGTTTGAGAGTAAACTCGGGCTTGGGAGGAGGCCTTGCACCATGACAACTTCACAAAGAAAAAAGTGTGTTAAGGAAAAACTAAAAGTTGAACGTACAATCTCATGCAATTCAATTAAACTATATGATATAGGATTCTCATGACACTAATGCACGGCTTCATGACTTTGTCGGTAATCAAAACATGACTAGAGATAGGAATCTCTGTTTTTGGAAATGCTTGAAATTGAAAGTTCAAAAGTTTTAACCATTTAAAGCAAGTTCTTGAATATAATGCACAGTAACATCTCAATCTTTCATATATTGAGGGAAAACTCTCTCAAACCTTAATTTGCATGCATGGCCACATTGGTACTCTTCTGCACAAGGTAAGCGACAGGGAGGACATGCTCCATAATGGCATTTGTGCGGCTAAACAAAAACAATGTGTTAATAATATTTTTTAAAAATATATGACGATGCAATTAAGGAACATCCAAATATGATGATGACACCTTTTGTGAGTTTGTAATAATTCAAATCTTGAGAAAAACAAAAATAACAACCCATTAAAAGATATGAACAATTGCATTGTGAAATTATATCATCCAATTTCAAATTTAATTGTACCCAGCACTAAAGGAGTTCAATTTTAGCATGTAATATAATGCTTGGACACTCTAGACATTAAGAATTCAATTAAAAAAGACCTAGGATATTGGGGAAGAGAGCAACGATTTAACATCATTTTATGCCAACCATATAAAAAAGTATTTTGTTTTGTAGGGTACTTACTCCTGCATTTTCAATAGAATAAAAATTTTACTTGAATAATTTACATAGCCTAGTTTTCACAAAGACCGTGGTCATTAGATCAAGAGCATAACCAATCAAGGAATGAATCCCAAACCCTAAAGAGAAACTTCATTTAGCTTATATCAAATCTCCAAATCGTTAGGCTTAGATACCCTTTAGAGACATGCTACTGACATTTTTATACAAGTTGTATTACCAATTTGTTGGAGGGGAAAAAACCATGAATTAGAGTTTATTTTTTCTAAATTATGATCCTCTATTATAGCTTCACCTGATTACACATAATCCAACATATCTCTGTTTGGGAATGTAAATACTTGCAGCAAAACAAATCAGTGAGAAATAGTACCTTACTGATTAAGGCATGCCGACATAAAGGCTTAATAGGACATTTTTTACGACATCTGGGAGGCTTTTGATCCATTTCAGTACCACAAGGAACCTGGTACAATATCCATCACTCGGCAAATACAATTGATGCAAGTACCCTCAAAATTGATGAAATTCAAGTACATAGCATCAGGATCAAAGTAATAAAACATGTGCACTTGCGAAGAAAGAAATAACAGGAAATATGTATATAAGGTGTGTTTACGTAAATTTACAACTTTCTTAAAATAAAAAGTACAAAAAAAAAAAAGTAACAGCAATGACCAACTAGATATTTATCTGATTGCTGAACTATCTTCTAATTTATTTAATGATAACACTATGAAATTAGCAGGCATCACAACTCTCAGGTAATATAAAAAAGGGAATATCACACTGACTCCACTCGACTACAATGAATATTACATAAACTAACAATAACAACAATCCTTGATTTCATATGATACATTTAGATTTGTTGTTCCACAAAATATGTTCAAATTACTTTGCTTCCAAATAAATCAGCAGTAGTTAGTGCAATGCAACATGTTTAAATCATGCAAAGAAAATGATTTGCTCTTGATCACTACCAAAATCTCTCCCTTCTAAGTGAAACCTGGCAAAGACCATCTAAGTGCTGGGAAATAAGCAAGACAAACGCAAAAGCAAAGTTCTATTCACTGGAAATTCCATCGACAAGACTACTATTTAGTAAGTCCAACATCATCTAGCCATCAACTTCTATGAGCTGAGCAGTCAGTGGCATTGTTTTACCTAGTATATACATCGTTCACGGAACAATTTGCATACAAGAACTACAATTATAAAATGGATCTTCATGGTAAGTACAAACATGCACAGTTGGAAAAAGAAAAACCATGTAGCAGAAGGCCAGATGTAAATAGAATCCTGATGGAGGAACTCAAACCTCAAAATGTGTCTCCCCACATGCACACGATATTGTCACCATTATAGGACAAGGAGCACAGGGACCTCTGCAAGAACAAACTTAGCTATCATCAAGCTGTATTCTGCATGTCTAATACGTTAACACTTCACAAGTTAAAGAATGAAGAACTGTTTTTTTTTGTATAACATGCATAAGATATCAACAACTTGGTCCCTATGTTCTTAATAACCAATCAACCAAAAAATCAGTATTTTTATGATGATGAAGATGATGATGATATGTTTCCATCTAGTCCATTGTGATCATATTGTACTTTGTTAGTATCTGATGCACGTAAGTTCAAAAAAAGGACATACCTGTGGCATGGAGATTGGCATTTATGGTTTCTACAGCGGAGCCTCCTGCCACAAATCTAATAATTGTTGAAAAACAAAAGAAATTGATCAATGTAATTACACACTTTACAAGCCTACTGTCATAATGAATTAATAGTAATACAAAACAGGTACACCAACCTCTGAACATGGAGGACAATCTCCATCACAGCAGCGGCGTTTACATGGATGTCGGCCACAGTCACGCAACGTCTGGCACTTCCTCTCACATGCCAAATCTTGATAGCAAGGTACCTGCCCTAAGGTCAATTAACTTTGTCTACTTTGAATATTTCACAAATCACAACATCCAAATTTCAAACAAGAATAAAATGACAACTACTTACATCTTTCTTGAGGCTACCACAGCGACAACACTTCCTAACAACAATCCTACAAGTCTCAATACACTGTCCACGGTGGCATCGTTCATGGCACTTATGATACCCACACGGTAACATTTTATCGCATGTAGCCCCACAAACCTGCATAGGAGCATCACAAGGCATTCCTTCATAGAACCTTTTACCACAAGGACATGTTCTCCTCCCTTGTAAAGGACACTCACCACACTCACCAGAATGACACCCTTTCTGACAAACATGCTTCCCACAACTAAGCTTCTTCTCACAAGGATCATCACACCGAAAAACACGATCACAACATTCCCTCTCCTCTTTCACCTTCCCACATTGACACCTATAAACACCACGAGTCCGGCACGGCGGACAGGTACCACGGTGGCAAATCTCAACGCACCTATGAACACCGCAATCTAAGACCTTGGAACATGGGGCTTCACAAGAAAACTCCTTGAAACCGCATCTTCGAGTGTCGTGGTGAGATCCGCAAAAGCATCGAGCTTTAACGAGTTGGGGACAAGATGGACATGGCCCGGGATGGCAGAGAAGCAAACAACGGTGTCCACAATTATTCTTCAAAGATCTACCACAAACTTCACCACATGAATGAGGTAAAACCCAAGGATCATCACTGGGAGGATTCTCCAATTTGCCACAGAAGCATAGGTAGGACTTGGGGATGAGGCTTTTGGGATATTCCACTCTACATTTGGGGCAATTCCAGAGAGATGTTTGGGAGGCTTGGTCCTGAGAAATGGAGAGGCGAGTGACGGCACGTGCGGCGGCGAGATCGGAAGCTTGACGGGACCAGCTCTGGATGCAGAAGAGATGGAAGACAGCGAAACAGAGGGAGGTGCAGGACCAGGTGGGATCGGAAGGTTTGATGCGCTCAAGACATATGAGACAAGAGAGAGCGCCGGAGGAGGAGGAGGTGAGGAAGGATTGGATCTTGGATAGGTCGGCGGAGGTGGCATTGGTTGAGGAGTGGCCGGAGAAATTGAAGTAGGATTTGAATATTGACTCGGAGAGGTCTGAGTGGCGGAGGAGTTGGGAGGTGGAGGATCCTCCGTCGGAATCAGAGTCTGAAAGTTGCGGTGGGTGGTGGCGCTGGGATGCCATCTAAGCTTTCCGGCACCTCTTAGTTGTTTGTGTTTGGTTTTTTAGTCGTGTTTTTTCTTTTCAAAAATCTTTATTTTTCATTTCTCGTTTCATCACCGGTGTTTCATATAATATACTATTCAAAGTATTTAATTAGCCTAACTAAAATAGTTGTAATTTCATCCTTAATAATCTCCATAATTATTTCATCATTTTTTATATTTTAAAATTAATTTATAGCTTTTCAATGTAGCTATTCTCATATCATTATCTGACCGTTTATCTTACAACTTACGTCACTCTCTCTCTCTATTTCCAAGACATTGAAAATAGGTAACCAAATTTGTCTTTTCATTAACTTTGTTCTTTCCTTTTCTTGCTTCTATTTTGCACTTCCTCTTCATTTTTGAGTTTATTCTCATTATAATTAATTTAGATTTTATAATTAATTATATATTAATTTATATTTAAGAATATTTTTTAGATTGTTTATATTTTTGTTAGAAGATATATTTTGGATTCAATTTTTTGTGTATAAATAATCTAGTGGAATAAGTTATTGTAATTCATTGTAAATCCTTATTTTCAAATTGTCAGTAAATATATTTCTTTTGCATTTTATCTTTCTTGTGCTCCAACAATTTGTATCTATAACTCCTGGTTAGAAACTCTGAGACTTGGGAAACATTATTTTTCATTGAGTTTCTGCGTAAATTACACAAAGTCGAAGATGAACGGAAACGGTGGCGATATTCATTCCAAGCTTCCAGTATTTGATGGCAAAAATTGGAATCGTTGAAAGATCCAGGTGCGCGTGTTATTTGGTTCTCAATATGTGTTAGATCTTGTCACCGATGGCTATAATCTGTTAGAAGCAGACGCAATAGAGGCGCAGAAGGTAGCACAGAAGGCGCTAAGGAAGAAAGATCAGAAGGCGTTTTTCTACATCCATCAATGTGTGGATGCTAATGTGTTTGAAAAAATTGCTGATTCTGAAACAGCAAAGGTTGCGTGGGACACACTGGTCAGATGTTATAGTGGTGACGTATCAGTGAAGAAGGTGAAGCTTCAGTCTCTTAGAAAGCAGTATGAGAATCTCAACATGAAGGACAACGAGAAAGTTTTTGAATACATCTCTAGAGTGATTTTGATCGCTAATGAGATGAAAGCTTGTGGAGAAACTTTATCTAAACAAGTAATTATTGAGAAGATCTTGAGATCTTTAACTTCTCAGTTTGATTACATTGTGCTAGCAATTGAACATTCCAAAGATTTGAGCACCATGGGAGTTAAAGAGCTGCAAAGTAGTCTAGAGGCGCATGAGTTGCGTATGACTGCAAGAACTTCTGAGAGGGAAGTAGAGCAGCATGCTCTGAAGGTAACTTCTGGTAAGAAGCATCAGAAGCAGACTTGGTCAGAAGCCAAGAAGAAAACTAATGGTGGTCAAAGGTCAGAAGCTTCAAACTCTGATAGGCAGAAGAATGTCTAGAAGGGAAAGGAGAATTCTGACAAGAAGAATGTTCAGTGTTACTGTTGTAAGAATTTTGGTCACTATGCCAGAGTTTGCTGGTCCAACAAAGAAAAGAAGTCAGAAGAAGCAAATATAGCAAGAGGATAGTCTGATGATGAACCTGTGCTATTGTTGGCTTCTGAACCTGATGATCTAAGTTCATCTGAATGGTGGTATATGGACACAGGGTGTTCAAACCATCTTACTGGAAACAAGAAGTGGTTGGTTGATTTTGACTCTGGGAAGAGTACAAAAATCAGATGTGCTGATGATAAATACCTCAATGCAGAAGGTATGGAAGATGTCAGAATCATTCTAAACAATGGGAAAGCAGCAGTGATCTAGAATGTATGGTATGTACCTGGCATGAAAAGCAATCTGATGAGTGTGAGACAACTGATTAAGAAAGGTTTTTCAATTACCATGAAGGACAATCTTCTGAAGCTATATGATTGTAATCAGAAGCTGGTTATGGAGTCAGAACAGGGAAGGAATATAACATTCAAGGTGAATGTTAGAACTGCATACTCTGAATGTCTTAGTGCAACAAGTGTTGTCAAGGAGAGTAAGTTGTGACATAGAAGATTTGGTCATCCGAATTTCAGAAGTTTAGGGCATCTGAAATTAAAGAATCTGGTACATGGAATTCCTACAATCAAGAAGCCTGAAAAGTCATGTAATATGTGCATGGAAGGGAAGCAAACAAGATTACCATTTACATCAGAAGTTGTTCCAAGAGCAAAACATGTATTTGGAGTAGTGCATTCTGATGTGTGCGGTCCTTTTCCAGTAGCATCGACTGGAGGGAATAAATATTTTGTGTCATTTGTTGATGAGTTCACCAAAATGACACGGGTATCTCTCATAAAGTTCAAACACGAGGTGTTTGCTGAATTCAAGAAGTTCATACTAAAAGCTGAGAATCATAGTGGCTAGACTCTGAAGATTCTTAGAACTGATGGTGGTGGTGAGTATAACTCCACAGAATTCAGAAGTTTCTGTGAGGAGAATGGAATTGAGCATGAGGTTACTGCTCCCTATACTGCTCAACACAATGGTTTTGCTGAAAGAAGAAATTGTACTTTGCTTGATATGGTGAGAAGCATACTGAAAGAGAAGAAGCTTCCTCATACTCTATAGGGAGAAGTTGTTGCAACTGCATGTTATGTGCTCAACAGATGTCCAACGAAGATATTGAAGGAAATAGTTCTTGTTCAAAAGTGGACTGGAGATATGAAAAGTGTTAGTCATCTGAAGATGTTTGGTTTTGTATGTTACAAACATGTTCCAGAAGCCATAAGACGGAAGTTGGATGATAGAAGTAAAGTAATGTTGCTAGTGGGGTACCACAGTACAGGTTCATACAAACTCTATTGTCCAGAAACTAACAAAGTTGAGTTCAGCAGAGATGTCATTGTAAAGGAATCAGGAGTTTGGAATTGGGAAAGGTCTAATCCCGACTCTGATGAGAGAACTCCTGAAGAAAAGTCGGAAACACGTGTTTCTGAAGCTGGTAAAGACTCTGACTCTGAAGAAGATACAGAAGGAGAAGATGATTCTGACTTTGACTCTGATGGTGATACAAACTCTAAATATGGTCAAGGTTTTGGAGAAAGTCCAATTTCTGAAGCAAGTGCTTCTGAAAGGGGAAAGTTTTGGTGTCCAAATTTCTGAAGGTCCAGTTCAGAGGCAACAAAGAGTCAGAAGCATCCTAAGAAGATTTGCAGAGTTTGACATGTTGCAAGACACTAAAGTAGACTCTGAAGAAGAAGTTATTCAGTGTGCAATTTTAGTAGACTTTGAACCCGTGAGTACGAAAGAAGCTCTTAAGCAACAAGTTTGGTTGTAGGCCATGAAAGAAGAACTTAATGCTATAGACAGAAACAAGACTTGGAAGCTGACAGAACTTCCAAAAGGCAAGAAAACCATCAGCGTCAGATGGGTTTTCAAGCAGAAGCTAAAGCCAGATGGATCAATTGGCAAACACAAAGCAAGATTAGTAGCAAGAGGCTTTCTACAGAAGCCTGGGCTGGATTACTTTGAAGTGTTTACACCTGTAGCGAGACATGAAACAACCAGACTAGTGATTGCAATAGTTGCTAACAGGAATTGGCCTATGATACATTTAGATGTAAAATCTGCATTTCTGAATGGTCCATTATAAGAAGAGGTATACGTATCACAACCTCCTGGATTTGAGGAAAAGAATTAGGAAGGGATGGTGTTCAAATTATACAAAGCCTTGTATGGATTGAAGTAAGCGCTCAGAGCTTGGAATTTGAATATTGATTCGTTTTTCAAGGAATAAGGGTTTCATAAGTGTGAGGTGGAGTATGGTGTTTATGTTCAGCATACTTCAGAAGGTAATATGATTCTGGTCTGTTTGTATGTTGATGACATATTACTCACAGGAAGTTCTGAACAAGAGATAGTTGAGTTCAAGAAAGTTCTGATGAATGCGTTTGAGATGACAGATCTTGGAAAATGAGTTTCTTTTTAGGGATGGAATTTATGTACTCTAAGAAAGGAATCATTTTGCATCAGATGAAGTATGAACTAGAGCTTCTGAAGAGATTTGAGCTAGAAAATTTCAAAGTTGCTATCACACATGCTGATACAAATTAGAAGTTGGACTCTGATTCTGATGGAGAGAATGTGGATGCTACAACCTTCAAACAGATGGTTGGTTCTCTAAGGTATTTGTGTAATACCAGACCTGATATTTGATATGCAGTTGGAATGATTATCAGATTTATGAGAAAACCAAAGTGGTCTCATTACCAAGTTGTTATCAGGATTCTGAGGTATATAAAGGGAACTCTGAAATATGGAGTGTTATTTTCGTCTGAAGGAAAGATTGAATCCGAATTTCTGTGTTATTCTGATTCTGATTGGTGCGAAGATAGAGTTGACAGAAGAAGTACTTTTGGGTACTTATTCAAATTTCTGGGAGGTCATATTTCTTGGTGTTCCAAGAAACAACTTGTTGTTGCACTAGCTAAATATATTGCATGCGCTCTGACTGCATGTCAAGCTGTGTGGATTCTGAACTTGCTAAAAGATCTGAAGATTGAGGTAAATAAACCTCTGAAGTTGATGATTGATAACAAGTCTGCAATCAATCTTGCCAAGAATTCAATGTTGCACGGGATAAGCAAGCATATTGAGACCAAGTATCATTTTATGAGGAATCAAGTTCAAAATGGAATATTAGAAGTTGTGCACTGTAGCACCCAGAAGCAGCTGGCAGATGTTTTGACAAAGGCTATCAAAACTTATCAATTTCTTGGTTTAAGGAATGAAATTGGTGTTGTCAGTTTTAGGTAAATATAAATTAAGGGATGGTGTTAGAATTAATTTAGATTTTATAATTAATTAGATATTAATTTATATTTAGGAATATCTTTTAGATTGTTTATATCTTTGTTAGAACATATATTTTAGATTTAATTTTTTGTGTATAAATAGTCTAATGGAGTAGGTTATTGTAATTTATTTTAAATCTTTATTT